GCCATGAAAAGACATGGAGGAGACTTAAATGCATACTACTAAGAGAAAGAAGCCAATCTGAAAAGCCTACATATTGCATGCTCCCAAATATATAACATTCTGGAAAAGGCAAAACTACAGAGACAGTAAAAAGATCTGTGGTTGCTGGGGTTGGGGGAGGGAGGGATGACTAGATGGAGCACCGAGGATTTTTAGTGCAGTGAAACCATTCTGTGTGATATTACATAGTGGATGAATGTCATCATACAGGTGTCCAAACCCACAGAGTAGACAAGAGTGAACCCTAAGGTCAACTATGGACTTTGGTGGACAATGATGGATCGATGTAGGTTCATTGGCTATAAGGGACGTACCACTGTGGTGCTGGATGTTAATAAAGGGAGAGTTGTCGGGGGTCGGGAGGGTAGGGAAGGGATATGTGGGAACTCTGCATTTTCTGCTCAATTTTGCTGTGAACCTAAAACTGCTCTAAAAAATACAGTTTATTAATTAAAACAAAAAATCAAACAGAACAGATAAATAGAAAGCAAAAAGTAAGTCACCATTCATCCCAACCTCCCAGTCCTGCTCCTCAGAGGCACATAAGGTTAATAAAATCCTGTGAACCTTTCTAGAATTTCTATACACATGCAAGATAAAAACTAGATACGATGGTCCCATAGTATCCTTTTTTCTCTTCTTCCTTTTAATGAAAGAATCAACTGAGTTTTTACTGGGCACACATCCAAACTATTAGCGACATCTCTCCCAGGCTTTCTTGTAACTACGTAGGGCCATGTGACCAAGTTCCTGACCATAGAATATGAACAGAAGTGATGTATGTCCCATAAGAGGAAAATGCACCGCATCCACTTCTCTTTCCACCTTTCCCCATGAACTAAAATATGGCTGTGGAGCTCTTAGCTAGCTCTGAGCACAAGGAGGAAAAGTTCACTCTGGCTGTGGGTCTTAAGCTTTTCTAGGACATACAGCCCTTTGACAGTCTAGCAATGTGGTGGACTACTTCTCAAACCAATGTTTTTAAATGTGTAAAATAAAAGACAAAAGACTGTGAAAGAAACAAATTGTAGTGAAATACAGTTACCAAAATGTTTTTTAAAATGTGTGTTAGGATAATATCTGTGCCTCCTCATTGATGAATTAAATAACACGTTCTGGTTAAGAAGAAAATAACTACTGAAATTTCAAAGTAGTGGAAGCATATATGATCTTTAGAGACATCTGCAACGACTGCAACAAGACATAAAAATATCTGTGATTTCTACGGGTTACAAAATCATGGTTTCTGCTAACACCACCGAGGCAGGTTGCCTCCATTCACAGTGGAAGGACACACTAAATTCCAACTACAGGGTAATACAATAAAGATGCAGTTTTTCTTTCCATCCAAATTCACAGAGCCCCTGACTTCTCTCTGGAGATGTTAGGCAAATACCCTCACTCTAGGGGATGAAGGGCAGTAAGAGAAGGAACTCGGATCCCTGGACAACTTCATGGGAGAAAGCTGCTACTCTCCTTAGACCCCTGTCCATGGCTGGACTACTGTGTGATACAGACAGAACTTCAGTCTGGCTCCAGCCACTGTGTTTTGGGTTCCTCTGTTTCAACAGTTTAGCCTAAGTGCTGACTGGTACATACGTATACTTTTAAAAACTCAGATGGAATTATACTGAGCACACAGTATGAAGAAGCAATATGTGCAGTGGTTACGAGTTGGATCTGGAAAAGGCCTAAGTTCCAGTTCCAGCTCTGCAACCTTCTGCTGTGTGGACTTTGGACTAGTTACTCAACCTCTCTGACTCTCAGTTTCCTTACTTGTAAAATGGGCATAAGCATCATGGTACCTAGTTAATAAGGTCGCTGTGTGTATCCATACACGGAAAGTGGTTAAGAAAGCGCCTGCCACGGTATAAACTCACAACGAATGTGAGCTGTCATGACTACTACTACTCGTGTTATCATTGTTTGACTCCTTGCTTCACTCACCACTCCAGACATCTTTCTATATGGGGTATATAGATTTTTTTGTTTTGTTTTGTTTTTTAAACTTCATAGTAATGTACTGAACGAATATGCCAAAAACCATACACAAGTCCTCAATTATAGAGTCAACATTTAAGATGTTTCTGAAAGTTTCACTTAAAGGTTGATGTAGCAATTATAGAGACAGCTCTCTGACACTACTCTACCAAACTTTTTGTTATAAGATTCTGCATAATTATTGAGGTCTAATTTACACACAATAAAAGACACCCATATTAAGTGCACAGTTTGATAAGCTTCATAATATTTTGTAAAAACAAAACCATGTGTATAAGAGGACTTTAAAAAGTTAAATTATAGAAAATATAAGGTTTGATATCATCCCTATTGGTTTTATATGTATATTGTTCACTTTCTATTGATCTAGATGTTCCTGTCCTGAAACACAGCTGTGGGAGGCAGCTCAATTGCCTATTTCCCCAGCAACACCTGTAGATTTGTGTCTGGAAATGCACCCCTCCCTCACCCAACCCCTGAGCTATGGGAACAGACCTAGAACCAGCAACTTTTGGCATGGTGACGGGTTCAAGGTCAGCACAGGGTTCAATCTGAACCAATGAAATGCTGATAGACTTTTGTGTTAGGGCTTCTGTGAAGAAGTATACCCACCATTCTTTTCCTGTTGGACTTGGAGTGATCTAAGGTCTAAAGCTACCTCACCCATCCTGTGACCACTGAGGAAGCTCCAGTCTAACCAGGAGTCGATGTGGAAGATAAAGGTCAAAGAGGGTTGGATTTCTGATTAAACCACATATGAAACCAGCATTGCCCTTGGATTTTCCACTTCACCTGTATGTAATAATAAAAACTCCAGTTACTTAAGCCAATTTGATGGGTTTCTACCACTTGCCAGCAAAAGAATCCTAGCAGATATTCAGGTTTAGTGTAGAAAAATTCCACAATTTAGGAAACATAAGGAGAAAAATTAAGAATCATCCTTGATGTTGCTACCACCACCCAGAGGCAACCACTGACCACCTCTAGCTGGAGGTTATTAGGATGAGCTCTTGGGACCCTCGATACCTGCGGGGAGTGAGAGCAGCAGGAAACAGCCGAGGGAGAAGTTGCGCTGCAAGTGATGTGAACACAACAAATGCCCAGCTGGTCCTGCGGGAGTTCTGGCCCTAGAAAGACTATTCAGAGTTGCCACACCTTGAGGCAGGGAGCTTGCCCTTTGCTCGCCACCACACACACACACACACACACACACACACACACACACACACACACACACACACACACACACACACACACACACACACATACAGACTAGTCACTGGATAAAGGCTTCCCTTGGGAGAGGGGCAGGATCTTGTGCAAAGCTCTCCTGTTCAGTCCAGGGCAATCTTTTTTGTGGGGTCCCAGCTTCAAACTGTTGTTGTTCAGAGTCCTTCAGTCCTAAACAAGAGGGATCTGGGTTGCACACGACAGTATCCACTATATCCGCACATCTCCTTTTAGTCTATTTCATTCACATGGACTTCTCCTTTCTTTGGAAATGAAGGTCATATTTCAATACTGTTTTGTATATTGATTTTTTTTAGGCCACTGTTACATTCTGAGTATTTTCCGATCATTAAATATTCCTTAAATGAATTGCAAACACAGATTGAGCTTCCTTCATTTAGGTACCATAAAGTAATTTAAAACATTCTCTTACTACTGGATATTTAGATTATTGCCAATATTTTTTAATTATCATACAGGAATTTTGTTTGCATCTCTGATTAGTTCCTTAGGATAGATTTTTATGGTTGGAATTAAAGGGTAAAAGGACATGAGCTACTTCAGCATTCTTGCTAAATTGCCCTTTGAAATTTCATGCCAATTTACATTCTGGCCAGCACTACATGTATCTCATTAGAACTGAATGTTTCTATATTTTAATTCTTGCTAATTGACCAAAAATGATTTCTCATTCTCACTTTAGTTTTTTTCCCTCATTAGTGATAATGTAGAAGACTTTTAAGTATTTATTAATTTTTACGTGCATTTGTGTATTTTTCTTTTTTATGTGAAAACAGTCTGGTCATGCTTTTTATTCATTTTCTATTTGGGTATTAAGTGATTTGCTTATTGATTTATTAAAGCTCTTTATATATTAAATATGTGAAGCTTTTGTCTGCCGTATTTGTTAAAAATATCCTTTTGTCAATCAGTTGCACTTTAACTAAGTAAGAGTGATTCAAAAAACATTTTATGGTTAAAAAAAAAAACTTAATTTTTTTCTTCCACATTTTCAAAAGACCTTTCCCATTCTGAGATGTGATAAAGATCAACCTTCACTCACATTCCTTTTATAGCACTCATTATTACTTCCTCATAAAAGTTTCCTCTGACTGGGCTGAACCTCCCAGTGATACCTGCTCCCAGTACCACACACCCATCACTGGTTACTCCCATCACAGCTGCAGTCTTACATTTACATGTGTGTTTATAAACCTTGAAAGGCTTCACCATTCACAGAATTTGGCACAGAACCTAGCACTGTGGATATACTTTCTAATTTTTTGTTTTTCAATGTTTACATTTAACTCTTCAGTCACCTAAGGATCTATTTTACTGTAGAATATGAAAAAAAAATTCTCTCTATACCTTGTTTCACCATTTACAGAATGTTACAGACTGTCCCACTGTGGTGACACACACATTGTCACGTATTGGGTCTATGGTGGGACTCTTTCTTGTGTTACATTGTTCTACCTATAGAATCTGGCAACATGGCATTGTTTTGATTATTGTGGAGGTATATTATGTTTTAATATCTGACAGGAAAAGTCTCTTCTCAGTACTACACTTTCCATAAATGTATTAGTTAAAAATCACTTGATCAAGCCCTCTGCTAATAAAAGATGATCTTTAAAATAAATTATTAACTTACGATAGCAGAGAGCTCCTAGTTCCTCTCTCTTTTTTAATTTCATAGATTGTCTTTGGCCAAATGTACGTGCACTCACGTGAGCAACCCAGCCCGATGGAAGACGTAGAGATCCTGCTCGAGGGTACAGCTGCTGAAGGGGACCACCTTCACGAAGGTCTGGATGAGGACAAACTCAGGGGTGAGGTGAGGCACAGAAATTATGCAGAAGTTCTTGTCCTAACATAGCAGAAAACCAAGACACATGGAAGGAATAAAAAAACAACCATCAATAAACAAATCACTGCTACAAAACACTAAGGAAAATAGAAGCAAAAGGTGTTGATTAAGGGGAGAATACTCAAATCAAACTTTCCCATACTTTGGAAAGTAATCCTATAAAATTCAGGGAGATGAGCAACTACAAGAGTGTGGGGAAAATATCTGTGAGCCTGACTGAAACCTGAATAAACGAATATGTGAACAAGGCCACCCATTCAGTACCACCCTTTTGTAGTAGATTTTTAAACTAAGACCATTCATGCTTGTGAATTCACCTGCATCACTAAGTTGATGTGTCCCAGAAAGGGCCTGTGCTTACTAAGTGGCCTTATGCCAATCACGGTCCCCTCCTCTGTGACATGAGAGGGTGGTACTCCAAGGCCTTCTCTGGCTCCAAAATCCTGTGATTATACATAAATAGATGTGTGTGTATTTTATCAGGACATCATCCCATTCGGGTGAACAGATTCAAGGGTGTGTTTAAAAGAACTGCCCACGTGTCCTGATAGACACCACTCATCTTCTTGACCTGTGCTGTCCCATATGGTGGCCAATGGCCAGGCACTGAGCAAGTGCAACTGAGGACCTAAAGTTTAAATTTCATGTCACTTAAATTAATTTAAATTTAAATTTCAAAACTGTTATTGGAAAAGTTTTACAAGTATGTGTCCTTGGGTTACGTGAACTACTTAACCCAACTATAAATTTTATGAAATCTAAATACTATAAAGTAATTCTGATGAACATTTAATACTTGTATTGAGATGTGTTGTAAGTATAAAATACACAATGGATTTCAAAGACTTTTAGTATGAGACAAAGAATGTAAATTATGGCATTAATAACTTTATATTGATTACATGCTGAAATGATTGTTTGGGACATACTGAGTTAAGTGAAATGTATGATTAACATGGATTTCATCTCTTCCTTTTTACTTCTTTTTTAGGTAGCTGCTGGAACATTCAGTTAGTGATATGGTTCACACTCAATGTCCAAGGACGGTGTTTCTCTAGGCCATTTATGTTCCACACAGCCACTTGCTCCCCTGCCAGGTCTCTGCAGAAGCAGCCAGCTCTTCCAAGAGCTCATATGTCCCTTTGGGATCTCACCTCCCCTTGAACCCTGTGAAGGCATTACTTGTGCTAATCCAAAACCCTGGGGACATTTGTGCAACCCTAAGGAGTGTATCATTGTTTATCTCATCTTCCTTCTTCCTAGCAAAATAACACAGCTCCTTTGGGGAAACTTTAGAGTGAAATTGCTGAAATACTCAAGCTAAAAATAAAGATTGGGTGCCAAGTCTTGGTGGGGGAGACTAACTATAATGAGTTCACTCTACTTGGATTTGAAGGATTTAAGGATGAAGTAATGAACATATTTTTTCCTGTGTCCCCATATCCCCAAATCAAATAGAATTAAAATGTAAACAGGTCTTTTACCATTTAATAGCCAGCATTACTTTTATAATGCTGAAGATTTTGCCTTTCCACAGAGTTTAAAATAGTAAAGAATTAAACAGTGAAATTTCTTTAAGGTATCTTTAAGGGAAACTGGTGTTGTAAATCGTACATTCATGGTAATCTACAGAGCTCCGTGGGCTTCAAAAATGCCCTAGAGGGCCGGCCCGGTGGCGCACTGCTACAGTGCGCCGCTTGGGAGCGCGGCGGCTCTCCTGCCGAGGGTTCGGATCCCACATACAGACCGGTTCCCGCTCACTGGCTGAGCGAGGTGTGGGCGCAACACCGAGGGTTGCGATCCCGTTGTCGGTCCCGGTCCGGTACGGGCGCGACACTGAGGGTTGCGATCCGTTGCCGGACACGAAAAAAGACAAAAAAAAAAAAAAGCCCTAGAAATCAATGCAAAAAATTACAATGGAGAACATATTGCCTTATTGCAAGGCTTCATTCTATTAAACAACTGAGGAACTAAAGCCTAAAATCACACAGTGTTTAGGCAACATAATTAAACCATACTTGTTTTTGCCTCACTGTAAAGAACATCAAGTAAAAATAAAATCGTAGATATTTTGCTTGAAATTAGCCAACTGAAGAAGTACAATTGTTGACTTAACTGACAGTCCAGCCACGGAAAAAGTCTTTATAAAAACCCACGCTGTCCCTCAACTGTATTCCATCCCCACTTTCTTCCCTCAGTAAAGTGATAAGAGGTTGGCTAGATATCCATCCCTGGACAACAGTGAAACAGGAATGGAGGAAGAGGCCGGCGACACCCTGCAATGGGGCATCTTGTCTGCACCTGGATGTTGGATGAGAGGCCCATTCACCCACGTGGTTGAGACCCTCCCACTTGCCAGACTCGGAGTCAGGCCTGAGGAACTAGCGGGGAAGGAAATGCCAATCCAAAAACCAACCACAAGCTCCCACTTTCCTCCCCTTAGAAACGCAGTACGAGGGTTTCAGAATATTTTGAGCCAATATAAGCTGTGAAGTAATACAACAGTCTAAGCCACTTTAATTTCTGACATTTCCATATACCACTATGAATGATTTCATTCTAATAAATAACTGATAAAGATATCTCTAAAAGAAATTATGCATTGAAAGAAAGCTGTTAAAATAGTGTGACTAAAGAATTACTGAAAATGACAATATTTCCTCTTTTTAAGAGTTCATGACATTCTATTTGACCTTATTCTCAGAATACAGAAGCAGTTCGAACTTCAACATTCGTAGCATTTTAAATGTTTGGACTATAAATATGGCACTTTACTTTCCTATAGCTTCTCTAGCCTATAAAACCAACTATAATACTCAAAATTCAGCATATACTTACAGGAAAAAGACTGAAAACAAACTTCATAAAATCCAATGACCTGTAAATAAGAAGCACTGTCATGACCTGCAAGCAAACGTAGCATTGGTGAATATTTCAAGAGATTTATAGCTCTTTATCCCTTGGGCAGCAACTAGCCAACCACTAGTCAGGATTTGTGTCTAGCTAAACATTAATCAGTGCATAAGTCATATGCTTCATATCTCAGTAAGAAAGTATTTTGTAGAAATCAAGGCACTGTCATAGCAATGAACAATCTCTGTACATTCAAAAAGCCAATAGAAAAGATGGTCATTCTGAGGACGTAACCATTCCCCTCCTTTTCGAAAGGGTTGAGGGGAGAGGTGGGTGTGTTATAGGCTACTCTGATCCTTTTTCCTTTATAACAAGGACTTTCTGACCAGCCTCAGATGTATACTCACAGGCAAACCGTAATGGGTCATTGAACCTGTTTGAAAATCCAAAAATTACATTCTAAGCATAATCATATCTAAATGGACAAGGGAAAAAAATTTAAAAACCAAAAATCTACAAGGGCTTTACAGGCTTTTTAGATGTCTACAATATCATTAGCATAAAAAGATTTCCATTTTCAGCCCCAATATCTTCACAGAAGCCAAACACTTAGGGTGAGAAAAGTAGAAGTAAAAACACGGTTTGGGGGAGGCTGGGAGATTGGGAATGTGTTTAAATACATCCTCTAAAAAGGAAATGTCCAGAACTATTCTTGGTCATCTAAAAGATACTCCAGAACCTTCTGCTCTACCAAAATAGGCCAGTCTTTTTCTCCTCAAGATTGTTCTGTGGACATTTGTACAGTGGGTGGGTGTGCTAAAGAAGATGTGGAATTTAGGCAGTGAGGGCAGCGGTCCATACCCAGATTATGGGGATAGGAAGCACTGACCGTTTCAGTGTTCTGGAGGGGCAGGAAGAGGGAGACTGCCCGGCACCATGCCTCCTCCTCCCAGCAGCTGTTTGTTGTTGGGGGTCCCACTTATCCCCCTCTCAGATCTTACATTTGGATAAGGCTCCAGACCATGTTCTGGGTGAAGCGTAAGGCAAAGGGTCTGAGCCTATGGAATGAGCACACAGTCCAACAGGCCTCAATGGACTTTGGCTGCAAAGCTGGGCCCAAACCAGTCCTCCCTACTGGATTTTGATGCAGAGCCTGAGGTTGCTGTCAGTTGTCTTGTCCCCAAGACAGGGACACTACTCTGAGAATGGCACCAACAGCAGGGCACCAGGGCAAAGAGGTAGAGGGAGAAACATGGTCCTTGATTTGGTTATCTAGGTCCTGGTTCAAGCCATATTTAAAATTAGTCATAGCACTGGACTTACCCTTAATGCAAGGCAATTTTCCATTTTTTTTCAAAGTCAGTTTGGGTTGGACTTTCTGTTAGTTGCAACCAAAAGACTCCAGATGAGCAGCAGCAAATTCAAAGTCTCCCAGAAATGCAAACATTAGAGAATGGGAGCAGCGTGTGCTTACATAGTGACGATTTTCCAGATTCCCAATTGCTGAATAGGTGAGCCAGACCTGGGGGTTCTTGCCCTCTCTGTGAGCCTTACTTGCTTTTTATGGACTAGAATCTCTGCCTGGGGCCCAGGGGTCTGTGTTTTTAAAAAAATTCCCCCGGAGATTAGGATATGGGGCCAGGTTTGGAAACCACTGGCTCTGTAAAATTAAAACATTGGCCTACATACACCGTGAGCAATTCTCACCCTAACAAACAACGTGCACATGATACTTGCCTTGCTTCGTACTTCTCATCAACACAAAACAGCTGAATACAAAACGCAGATGAGGCTCCCCTGTAGATGGGGCGGAACTGGCTCGGCTCCTCAGGTAGCGAGAGGGATGCTGAGCCTCTGCTGCTCACACAGGGCTCCAGCTCGTCTACCGTGGACACTGGACTGTGTTTCTCTGTGACCTAGAGCAAGGAGAGATGGGAATCCTGTCCATGTCTGCAGCTGACTGGGCTAGGGGTGCATCATCTCTACATTGCCCTGTTCCCACAGGTATGACTGTCTCACCTGAAACAATGCCTGAGCCAGGCCTGGTTTTAAGATGTTCTTTATGAGATATTCAAAATTTATAAAATGATTAAAACAAGTCCTCACACAAAGGTCAGAAAACAAATGGTTTCAGTTGGCCTTTGATATAGCGTCCATATATTAACTGTGTCACAGGGTAGAGATCAGAGTGTGCTAGTATCATACACATATGAACTCCATAAGCAAAATACCTCTGTCCCCAAGTTGTTTTCATTGTGATTTTGAGATACAAGAATTTTGGGGTCTTAGGTCTGCTCAGGCAGTCCTGGGAGTAAATGGGGTAGTGAGGTGGAGCCAAGGAAGGTCCAGTTGACCTCAGCCACCCAGAAAGTAAGTGCTGAGTCTGTCCAGTATGATTTTAGGGGCATCTAAGAAGATGGAATAACTCAGAGGAAAATTATTTCATTCTGAGATCCTTCTCGGAGTTTTTTTAAATCAAAGTAATATGTGCATATAGTAAAAATTAAAATAATATTAGCACTAAAAGTTTATAAAGAAAATTGGCAGTTCCCTGTCCCCCGAAGTCCCTCTCCCCATTGGCTAGCCCTTCCAACCTTTTAATGTCTTTTGGTATTTATCTCTGTATTTTTGAATAATATGCTTATGCTGCTATTTTGTAATTCATCCATTTTTGAAATTTCCTATTGGATAGTGATGTGGTGGCTAGATTTAATCTTCTTTCACCTTCCTCTTCCCTCCAGCCTATCCCCCCAATGTAAGTACATCACAATTCACCATGAAATCAGTAAGTATTCACACGATTATGAATATGTAAGTACTGCTGTTATGTTGGAGCAAAGGGGGAGTAACATGACTGTGTCCTCATTTGCATACTGTTTTTATTCACTTGGTTTCCTAAATTTTTTCACATGCTTTCTCAGATTTGCCAAGTGTTGGTCAATACTGTTTTCCAAGCACGCAGGCATTTGTGATCACCCATGAACTTCAGTTTTTCTCTCCCCCTCATCTAACCTGGAGTTGAAGCTTTACCAGCCTGTTGAACCATCTCTTTCTCATTTTGCAGCTCCTGCTCCTTAAGTTCCAGATCTCTCCCTTGTCTTTTTTGTTCCTGGTTTAGACCTCATATCCCTGGAGCACATTTCTAACTTCCTAGAAACAACAGTGCTTGGTGGGCAAAACTCAATAGCCACTGGCTAACTGGGACACTTGGCAGGGTTAACAGTCAGAAAATTTGGCATTTTTACTGGCATTTTTATTGCCACCTCAAGTGATGTTATCTGGAGGCTTTTTCCTTTGTTTTTTGGTCTGTCAGTTTTTTGGGGAATTAAATTCTCCAATCTCCTGCATGAGGGATTGTGGTAGGCCAAACACTGGCCTCCCAAAATGTGCATATCCTAACCCAGGACTCTGCATATGTCATTATGTTGAGAATTTTGAGATGAAGAGGTTATCCTGAATTATCCTGGTGGGCCCAATGTGATCATAAGGGTCCTTATGAGCAGGAAGCAGGAGGGTCAGAGTCAGAGAGGGGGAGATACTGCTCTGCTGTCTCTGAAGATGGAGGAAGGGGCACAGGCCAGGGAGTGCAAGTGACTTCTAGAAGCTGGCAAAGGCATGGGAACGGATTCTCCCCTTGATCCTCAGAAGCAATACACCCCAGCCTGTACCTGGATCTTAGCACAGTGAGACCCATTCTGGACTTCTGATCTCCAGAACTGTAAAATGATAAATTTATGTTGTTTTAAGCCACCGAGTTTGTGATTTGTTACATCAGCGACAGAAAACTAATACAAAGACCTGGTTTCTGGCATTCAGAGAACATGGCTAGAAGAGGGGTCAGGGGTTCCTCTATTTGAAATGGAGAATTGCACTTACTGGTCTATTCTCTATCCTTCACCATCACCTACACAGCCTCACGCTGTGCAGGCTGAACCTGAATTTGGAGCTGCTTCTGTTTGATTTCTCGAGACTAGTCATTGGTCTTCTCACTTGGGCTGTGGCTGATGAGCCATGTGGCGTCTGAGGGAGGCCAGGGTTGCAGTCACTCCATATCCCCTCATTTTCAGCCCCATTCCTTCCACAGAACCTCCACGTCTCAGCCTGGTGGGGAATTCACACACCTCTCACCAGTCTCTCCTCTCATAAAGACTCGAGTTTCACCTTCCTTAGCTGTGCTAAGCCAGTGTAAACGCCTCCATTGATTTTCTTGATTCTAAATATTTCTGAAGTGCTTATCTTCCAATATCTCCTCTCCATCTGGTTGTCTTTGTGGATGTGTGCCCTTTTTATTCCTTTTCTGTCATGTCAGTGCCTTTCCCTACCACTAAGTGAGAGGAGATGGATCCACCTTGCTTACCCAGATGCCCTCTGGGGGTCCAATATGCCTGCGGGGAGAGGGGAAGCATCCTGGCCCTCTGGCCGAATCCTTTCTTGGGTCCATAAAGGAATAAAAATAAACTGCATATATATAAAGTGTACCTTTTGAAAAGTTTTGACTTATAGATGCCCTCATAAAAATATCATCACCATCAAAATAATGAACACATCCATCACTCTCCCAAGCTTCTGGGCTTCTGCGTGCCTCTCGCTCCCCCCACCCCTTGCCTCTCTGCCAACCGCAGGCAGACCCTGATCTGCTTTTTGTCATTATAGATTAGTTTGTATTTCTGGAATTTTATGTAAATGAAATCATACACTATGTATTCTTTTTATTTCTTGGTCTGGCTTCCTTCACTCAGCATATTATTCTGAAGTTCATCCATTTGTTGCACATATCAGTAGTGTATTCCTTCCTGTTGCTGAGTAGTGTTCCTGTTAGACCACACTTCCTCCACCTCTTCGCCAACACTTGGAATGCTGAGTCATTTTTCATTCTGGCCATTCTAATTAAAATACAGTTGTATCAGACTGTGGTTTTAATTTGCATTTCCCTAATGACTAATGAGGTTGAGTGTTGTTTCATGTGATATGTCTTCTTTTGGAAAGTATCTGTTCAAATCTTTTGCCTGTTTTTATTAGGTTGTTTATTTTGTATTATTGTGTTTTGAGAGTTTTAAAATACCTGTTTTGGAAACAGGTCCATCATCAGGTATAAGATTTACAAATATTTTCTCCCAGTCTGCAGCCTGTCTTTTCATTACCTGAACAGTAATCTTTGAAAATAAAATTTTTAATTTTTTTTTTTTTTTTTTTTTTTTTTTTAAAGATGACCGGTAAGGGGATCTTAACCCTTGACTTGGTGTTGTCAGCACCACGCTCAGCCAGTGAGCGAACCGGCCATCCCTATGTGGGATCCGAACCCGGGGCCTTGGTGTTATTAGCACCGCACTCTACCGAGTGAGCCATGGGCCGGCCCAGAATTTTTAATTTTGATGACATCTAATTTATCAATACGTTCTTTTATGTATGTATTTTGCTTTTGATGTTGTATCTAAAAGATCTTTGCCTAACCCAAGGTCACAATGGTTTTCTCCTATGGTATAAGAGTGGACTTCAAAAAGCTCATGGAAAGATTCATATCATCTTTTAATTTCATTTTTCCATGAACTTTGTAAAGTACGGTTGCATTTTCTTCTAGAGATTATATAGGTTTGAACTTTACATTTAGGTCTATGACCCATTTGCAGTTAATTTTTACATATGGTATATGATGTGTGAATGCACTCCAGTGGTTGGTGGACCATCTGAGTTGTGGCTGTGGTGTCTAGCCGCTTTTGCAGCAGCCATGGTTATTGTGGTGGCTGTGGTGGGCCACCCACGTGGAGGTGCTGTTTTTGGCATGCTCCTTGGCACTGGCGATATGCCTGCTTGTGGGGTGTGTTTGGTTCCCTTCTCCATGCCTCTGGTCCCTGGGCAGGCCCCAAGGCACTGGCGCCATGTGCCTGGTTGTGGGAGAGGGTCCAGTCCCCTTCTCCATGTCCTGGGTCCCTGGGTGGGCCCCAAGGTACTGGCTTGGTGTGCCTGGTTGTGGGAGAGAGGTCCAGTTCCCTTCTCCATACCCTGGGTCCCCAGGTGGGCTCTGAGGTGCTTGCATGTTGTGCCTGGTTGTGGGAGGGTGGTCCAGTCCCCAACTCCATACCCTGGGTCCCTGTGTGGGCCCCAAGGTGCTGGCTCAGTGTGCCTCGTTGTCGGAGGGTACTCTGGTCCCCTTCTCCATGCCCTGGGTCAGCTCCGAAGTGCTGGCATGTTGTGCCTGGTTGTGGGAGGGTGGTCTGGTCCCCAACTCCATACCCCGGATCCCTGGGTGAGTCCCAAGGCGCTGGCTCAGTGTGCCTGGTTGTGGGAGAGAGGTCCAGTCCCCTTCTCCTTGCCTCGGGTCCCTGGGCGGGCCCCAAGGGGCTGGTGTGGTGTGCCTGGTTGTGGGAGGGGGATCCAGTCCCCTTCTTCATGCTTCAGGTCCCCAGGCTGGCCCCAAGGCACTGGTGCAATTTGCCTGGAAGTGGGAGTGGGGTCCGCTCCCCAGATCCAAGCCTCCAGGTCCCAGGCAGGCCCCAAGGTGTTGGTGGTGTGCCTGGGCCGGAACTAATTTTTTTGTCCTTTGCTTCTAACATGGGGGAACTTTCTGTGGGAACCAGTACTTGAGCTCTGTGGTTGTTTAAACCACTGCTTTGCTACTGTTTCCCTAGGGAAGGCTTTTTGTGCAGCTCAGGGTTTAATGGTTGACCTTATAGATACTTCCGGATCTCCAGAGACCCAGTGGATCTGGGTTGTGTAGAATCTCTGATCTGGGCCTGAGTATTTTCATCAAACTGCACCCCATGCAATTCTGCATTCCTGACCAGTCTCCTCTGAGTGGTCCTGCGCTGATTGGGGGGAAGATCAGCTGTCCTTGCTGTGCCCCAGTGCTCCCCTGGTGGGCATGTCTCACCCACCGCCCGTGCTCCAAACACTTCCCATGGGATGGGCCCTGCTCTGG